TCAAGATCGCCTTTTTTAACATTTGCTGACGCACCGTCTTTTCCTAAAGATCCTCCAATAGATCCATGTTTTGTTTCGACGTTGACRTTTATAGATTGCTTTGAAAGCCCTAAGCCAACGTTGTTTTCGCCGTCTTGTATTGAGGCTATAACTCCTGATTTGCCTCCACAGACTGCAATTCCTTTGTCCCCATGCTGGAAATTYAATCCAACCTGCTTTTTAGTTGCAGAAAAACCGACACTTGTGTCATTGCTTTGAAATCCTGCTCCAGCGCCATCTTTTTTTATGGYTAAATTTATTCCAAAGGCTGAGCTGTGTTGCGCAGTAATTTTTGCTTGTTTTGATAAGTCAGTGTTGACGGTATTTTTCAATTCGTCACAAACAGCTCCAGAAGAAGAACCAACAGTTGCATGATGTTCCATTTCAATGTATTTTTTGCTTCCACACATCGAGAATTCTCCACCTGATTTGGTAGCACCAATTTCAAATCCTGATGTCGACTGACATCTATAACTATGGATTTTCTCTGAGACGATGCTTTTAGCGAAGTTTTCAATTTTTCCTTCAGCTGTTACTGATGATCCTTTTAAACTCATGTTATCCACCTTAAACTCATTTTGGTTGATTGATCCTKTACARTGGATTCCACTCGACTTCTCGACAAAACGCCCGACATCAGAAGTTCTTTTCGATCCAAACTTGCTAGGGACGGGAATTCCTTCCACAAARGTAAAGCCAATACTTGTCGAATTTTCGTAAGATTCAATCTCACTCTGCTTGGTTACAATATTTAGTTCCTTAATTTGACCCGATATGGAACTAGTGTTCAGATTACAAGCTGTTAAATTGACTTGCTCTGCGTCAATATGTGTTTTTCCCCGAACATTTATGYTCTGGTTGATGRCTTTCCTTTCCTTTGACCTACCCTCTCCAGCTGACACTTCAAGTTGGTTCAAGCCAACGTCTAGTGACCACTTTGTCATGAAACTAGTGTTGTGCAACTCTGCTCCTTCAAAGTGAACGGTTTTAGCATCGATCATCATGTTTTCGGCATCAATTGGCATTGCATTCTTTACATTGWAATGTTTTGCTGATACAATTAAATTCCCACCAAGATTAACTCCACATCCTGCCAAACGTTGCTTTGTCGTTCTTTTTGATTCTTCTTCATATGATAATCCTTTCTCGAAAGAAAGCGAAARTCCACTTGAATGACTTTCTTCATAGCTTGATAGTATTCTGTCTTCGAAAAGAACTCTCTCAGCTGCACGTACCATTTTATAACCACCGGCTTGAACATCTGTGCCAATCATGAAAACACTCTTATTTCGAGACGTTATGCACATCGAACCACCGGACTTTAGTTTGGACTTGTGTTGCACTTGGGTTATCTTTGTTGACGTTTTGTTTCGAAACCAATTTCTCTTTACATGCACCTCTTTTTGAGTGGTAACCTTATCTTGAATTAGAACGTCATCTTTAGCTGAAATTGTTAAGTCTTTGCCTGAATTGATATCTACTGCAGTCATGTTCACACTACCTTCCTCGGAAATGACAGACACACTGCCTGATTTAGAGGAAATGTTTGCACCTGAAACCGTCGAGTAGGAGCATGAACTGCTCGAAGAACTAAAAAACCCTCTGTCAGACTGTGAGTTACCGTGGAATGTTTCTTTTTCATCAATTGTAACATCTTTTTCTGCCTTTAGAAGTACTCTTTCGTCGCCACAAACTGATCCAGCTGTCATTGATAGTGATCCTTTGTCAGATACAACAGCTGCAACATTGCTTGCTCCGACATGAGATGAATGCATTGACACGTCTCCAGTGGACTGTAAAACTGTAGAACCACGAGAGCTAACGGAAGAATCTCTTACGTGCAGATTTGTATCCGACTTTATTGATGCGCCTTTCTCAAAGTGAACATGAGCCTCATCAAGTTGTACTGACTTTGCTTGCAATTTTAACTGGTAGCGTTGATCAATGTTACACCTTGAGAGAATAATATCCTGATCTGTAACTGCTAAGTCAAGTCGATCAGAGATCCTGAGGTCTTCATAAATTCCCTCACCTTTCAACAAGTCGTTMACCTCTTTCACTTTGTTAGTTTTCACTTTAAGATTTTTAAAATGATGATCCGCTGTTTTCTTTCCTTTTGACTTATCATGATATGAAAGGTCAACACCTGATTTTGCATCAATGGTGGCATCATTTGCCTTCATTTTCCCAACAAGTTTAGCATTCTCCTCAGACTTTATTACAAGAGAATCACTCTCGATATCACCTGCTTCGCAAACACGTTCTGCAAGCATCACCATCGTTATGGCACTCTTCTCTCTTTTGGACATGATAATGTCCTTGGAAGCAACAAAAACATCTCCAGCTGACAAGAATCCTTCGTCGCGGTAGAACTCATCAAAATATGCTTCGTATGATGAGTCTGYTATTGTGGCTCCTTCACTGAAKGAATACTTTCCAGATTCTATGACACCTTCTCCTTTGTCGCTTTTTCTCTTTGACTCACTGAAACCAAATCTTTTCATAATAGATTTATACCCTTTTATTCCTTTGTTCTTCATCCATTGGCGAATTTTTTTGGCTTCWTGTGGGATTGCAAGCAGTTTCTCCTTTAGTATGTTGATCTTCGTGAATCTCTCACTTTCGCTTGTAATGATGAAAACTAGCCTGGGAACATCAAAGGATTCGATGCCACTATTCAAAACATCAGCGACAAACATATTAACCATGCTATACGTCTGAGCAATTTTGAGATCTATTTGAGCACTATTTGAAGAGGTGCTTGTCAAGGACTTGAATAATTCGAATATTCCTCCATTCTCCTTGTTTCTATCTGCATAATCTGACTGTATTCTCTTCAGTGACTCTGCTGCTTTTGCCCAGGCCTGAAGACTCTTAGAATCAGGAGTACTGGCTACGTACGCCAMGAACTTGAAAAGAAGAACTGTATTATTCTCAACCAGTTTGTTTGACGTTACCGAGGATCCACCAAGAAAGCACGCGATACTTTCTAACTTAATTCTTTGTTTTCCAATAAGCTCACAATTTCTCACTTCGCTAACCTCGTCGATTTCTCTCCCAGGAAGAGAAAGGAGAAACGGTGCTTCGAGACTGGTAACATGACCTTTGCAAATACCACTGTTAACTAAAGCAAGATCAGATGACAGCCGAACGTTGGATTGTTCCAAATCAGAGTGTATTGTACCAGAGTTCAGCACAGCCCATGGTTCAATTTGAAGGGTTTCAAACCCTTCAATCAGTCCTGCCAAAGTAAGCCACTCGCCTTTAATTTCAACTGCTTTACACGTACTGATCTTACTTTCTTCTGTAAGTCCAAGATGTATTTCAGCAGTCAACTTCAAGTCTGTTACATTGGTTATGCTTCCTGACACTTTTACACTTTGGCCTTCGATTTCTAATGCCGTCTTTGAATCTTGATGTGTTTGCCCATTTGTGGATCCTGCTAGGTGGACGATACCTTTTTCTCCCGCTACGATTTTCAGAACTTCCCGAACAATGATACCCTCGGAACCTTGCGTTTCTTGAACGAATGATTCTACTGCATTGATTTCCACAGATCCTGCACATTCCAGATCACCAGTCAACTTGATTTTATTTGCTGTAAAGGTTGATTGATTCTCCTCTTCGCTTGGCGTAATACAACGCAGAYTCCCTTCCACTTGTARGGAATTTGCTTCTAGATTGACACATTCAAATTCAGATACAATGACAGCCAGTTCGCATTGGAGTATTACTTTCGAGCAATGGAAGAGGTTTTGAGTGTCGAATCTAACTTCTGTGATTGATTCGTGTACGCCAAGTATGTGAACATTGACTGTTTGGCCTGAACCTTGGAACTGAACAGTCTGTTTGATCATCCCATTTTCATCGCCAATTTCATCTCCCTTCGCATAGCATACAGAAAGATAGTTTGCAGAAAAATGATCTTGGAGAAGTATCAACGAGTCACTGCTTCCTCCTTTGTCAATGTAAAATTCCAAAAAGAGGTTTCCTAGATGCGATTCTTTGAGCACCTGAATGCACTCATTGATTCGAAGAAGACACTGGGATGACTCACCTGAGGGGTCAGAACAGGCAATTTTTGAGTCAACAACCAAGCGACCTACAATATAAAAGAAGAATAGTAATGTTGGTTTGATTGTAGTTATCACGTATCATCTTATTGTAAGTCTAATGACATTTTGAATTGAAGCCGGATTGCATGTTATTACAAACTAACTCATTACAAGAAAATACATACAAATGTAACCAGGGCTGCTATGATGGAATAAATATATTTTAGGATTTAAAGCTTTCTCTTTTCAACAGCAACGTCAGGAAATACATTTTTAAGAATAATATCCCAGACTAATAAGAGTGGATTATTCAAGAGTTAAAGAGATAAGAGATACATGTATAGGGTATAGATCAAATTTTAAAGTCCAGATAACAAGTCTTGTAATTCTCTGCGTTCTTTCGCGTGAGTTTATGGTTGGTTTCATTGATTTGATGAACAATGCCTCTAAGAGGCGTAAGTTGACGGGGGYATATATCATATTGACTAAAAGTTAGTATATCAACCACGTATTTATTGGTTTRTTAAGCCAAACTTTCGTGCCCTCGGCACATCTTCTTGTGAACAAAATATATTATAACAAAATATGATCTGACTTTTTTGTGAAAATCGTACACTTAGGAGTCAAAGTTAACCAAAAAGTATGAACGGTAACTCGCGAGAAGACATTTGATCATTTGCCAGAATAGAAGAGATTCCTTCATGATGCGTCTCAATTAAGCACAAGTAAGCTAGAATAAAATGCTGGGTGAATACTGCAAATTTTCATGTCCTTCCTAACTTCCTACCTTTTTAGTTTTTTCTTCTTACTTTTCCTTTTTTCTGTACTTCCCTATTTTTCTTTATAAATCTTATTGTTGTGATTTTCTCCATTACTTCGAAGGGATGCMAATAACATTTTGGTCCCGCGTGTGTTCATCCTAAAAMTGCGGTAGTCACGAACCCTTCTAAACCTGCTTTATCATGTTCACATTATTCCAGTTTTGTTTTATTGCTTTGAAAAGCATCTATTTTTTGTCCATTGTTTTCTGAAACAATCACTATTTACGCTTTTTAAAAACGGTTGGGGATGACCCTCCAAACGATCGGAGCAAGCGGAATATATCGCACATATCACATTTTTGAATATTTTATAAAAATGAAAGTACCTTTTTCACAAGATATTACCACTTCGTCTGGTAGAACAAACGTGTCTGCAATCTCGTTTTTTTCTTTTACTGGAAAAAAAGTACACAGATAATTATTCCAAAGACGTAAGAAATAATGACGTGATTTTTGAGGATGCCAAAATATCAAGATGTATGTATAAAACTAGGATTATATTTTAGATCATTTTGTCATGTTTATAAAATTGCTGCTTTTTTAATTTAGTGTCACGGTGATGAAGTTGTAGTTTTCTAGAATTAGCAAAGGATTTATCATTATCACATGCATCTATTTTTCAATTATAACACCAACATTACCGCTGGTCATTTACACTTTGAATTACAGCAATGAATAAGAGCCAGTCATTCCTKGACATTCAAACGCAGAATGCACCACTGGGTGCAAAGTAGAGAAGYTAATTCCTAATAGCGATAACAAAATTTTTAAGAGCGTTTGCTATTTCTTACTTTTTTCCGTCAGAGCAAATGTAGTTTGGTCTTTTCCACCAACTGCAGAAAAATAGAACTCCTTCTGCGACAAAGAGCGGACGTGCATACATTCATCTACATAGATTCGTCCAGACAATGCCGTTGCGTCACTCGAATAAGCATCGATGAAWAGAGAAGGCGAGGTTATCGCTCCGTTTTCGTTTGACATGGTTTCAGTTTTGATGATCATGTTTCCATAACACTGGATTGTTCCACTGTTCGACGTCTTTTCCTTACATGTGATGCAGAGAGAACTGCTCGAGACGCCGGTATTGTTTTCATTATGAGATGACATGATCTCACCGCTGTTGGTAAAAGAMTTTGCTTGAATGCCAAGACTAAGCGAGGACTTGATTACACCTTTCTCGTTGGACAGAGTTTCAGGTTTGATGTTCATGTTCCCATCACACTCAATAACTCCAGTGTTGGAAAGTGTGTTCTCGACCGAAATCAAMAGGGAGCTAGTAGCAAATGTCTTGATCTTTTCATCATGGATTAACATAATTGCACCGGTGTTTTTCACCAACTTGGCTTGAATGGCTAGCACTGCAGCTATCGCCTTTACTGTACCGTGGACCGTCAAATTCTCTTGACAGGAAACCCTAACAGAAATGGGAAAATCTATGATGTTGTTGTTGTCGTTGTAGTGACGATAACCGTATGTAATGACCGAGTYAACACTGATTTCCATCCATTTGGTTATAACGTCGACGGTTGCTGCATTTTTTTGCCTGTTCTGAGAATACATGAGCTCTGCACTTGCTCCTGGCATTGTGTAAAAGGAAGCTGAAATACCATTTATTCCTTCTGCATGTAGCTTACCAGCAAGAACTAAATTGGCGACTTCACTTGATTCCTTTGCTTCAACATTCAGGTCTCCATTTGTAACGATAAGTATCTGGTTGATAATAAGTTGGGAATTGCGCCCAAAGAACTCGATATCACACTCTGTGGCAATCAGTTCGGCATCAGTAGAGACTCTGTTAGACAATTGAATGAAAAAGTGTCCCTCAACCAGCACGTAACCATACCATACACCTTCCTGGTCATCGTGCAAAGCAAGCAGTAGATCTTCATTACAGGTTATTCCTCCGTCTCKTCTTTGTTCAAGTACTCCAAGATTYAAAATAAGATTATCTTCACTGACCATTAAATTTTCGTTCAAAAGTGCCTTGTCGCAGAACAGCTCACCCCCTTGCTTGATCCATACAACTGATGTTTTGGATATTTTAACATTTCCTTGCACTTGGAGTTTGGTGAAACGTACTAGCATTGCATTGTCATCAAAGACCAAGTTCCCTTTTATGACTCCGCTTACGCTGCCAGAGATCCATGTCCAGGGTTTGATTATTCTAACCGAGCCACCAACATCAAATATCACATTGTTACCTTGAAGTTGCGAGCAGTCGTAGATATCCTGATTGACAATGCATTCAATGACACCTGCTTTGATGATTCCATGCCTCCATTCACAAATGATCAGACCATTGCGGATAATTTCTTTTTTGTACTGTCCTCCATCTTYTCTATTCTGTCTTCTTCCTTTGACWGCAATAAATTCATCTTGAACTCTTCGTCCACTGATTTTTACTGCTGGATCAATCTCGTGGTTTACAGTAGATATGAAAGCATCGCTGTCCATATTCTCAATTGCACGGAGCATTCGATCATCACTGAAGGAAGAATCTTCTTTGGGACTTTGAGCGATATCACTGACAAAGCCTAGCTCTTTCTGTATTGARACATAGCTGYTGAATCCTCTGTGAGCTGTGTCATTTCTTGACTCCGAGCATAACAATAAATTGTTGCATCTTAGTTTGATGTAATCTTGGGCAGCAAGTGATCCAAAGTTTGTCAAACTTCCGTTTTCAATTTCAACGTGCAATATTTTTGTCTGGTTTTCATTCTTTGAGTTGKCTGCTTTATTCTCAACTTGACCTAATTTTCCATCGATATTGACGTGCACATCACCACTTTTCACTTTAACCTTCAGTGATTGTTCTTCATTAAACAACCCACACGTGACCACACCATTAATGAATACATTCCCTTCACCTATGATGTTTGCTTTGAAGGTCGAACATTTCAGCATAGCCTGGCTGTCTACGTAAATATCACCAGCATCTAAACACCCTAAAAAACATTTTTTTCAAATCTTGATTGGGGTTCATACACAATATAATTTTAAGCTTATATCAAGCATTCAAGCTGCTTCCTCATCCTCCCTAATCCTCAGAGAATAAAATTAAGTTATAATTGACATTTTAACATTATTAGTGACATAATGATAATTGTTATAATTATCATAATTATAATTATAATAATCATAATCATTATAATAATAACAACAATAATAATAATAATAATAATAATAATATAATAATAATAATAATCATTAATAATCATTATAATCATTAATAATTATCATAATTGTTATAATTGACATTTTAACTATTGCACACAATAAAATGGTAAAAGGAACCTACAAAATAAACTTTTTGCGCGTTATTCAAGAAATATATTCCTTGAACTATTAAACGAAACTGGCCCAAACTGGCCTAAAACTCGGGAAAATTTTTTTTATTATTATTTTATTGTTGTTGTTTTACTTAATTGAATGATTTCGATGAAGTTTTCTATTAATCATATGGTTCCTTATATTTTTCATCAAATTTTGGTATAATMCAATTTCTTTTCATAAATTTTCTATTCTAAGTTTACTGATATTTTATTTTATATTTCTCCATCCGTTTTCTCCGTTCTACCCTATTTATTAATCCAGACTAGCTTTTATATTATTGTCTCTGTTAATCTTACCTTGCTTGATGGGCACAACTGTCACTAAAACGTTGTTTACTTGAAGAGGATGCGAACCTATTCTTGATGTTCCACGTGAAATCAACTCAAGCTTCATCCCGCTTTGTGTTTTATCTGTCTGTGATTTGTTGGTTGTAATGTTTGGTCCATTAAGGGTGAACTGCTTAAGACYTTTGAACGTACAATCCACAAGGTTTGTTTTGGTGAAATCTCGGTGTGGCACAACTGATATCTTTATTTTGTCCCCCTAAAATACCGTTCATTTTAACATATTAAGTGATCTGATAAATTTATGTACTAGTTTGTATTAGCACATTATCCGCAARACGTGGGTGGCTGTATTAAGTGGATCATCATCTACAAAATTCAAAATCGCTTATTTGATGTTAGACTTATAACTTTGTCTTTTCAAGCATTGGATTTTAGGAAAAMGGCACAAATGTTTATTAGCATATCAATCACTGCATTGCTTTAGAGGTAATTGGTCAACTTTCAAGTCGATTGGTTGAAAACCAAAAGTTATGAGTCCCAATAACCGGTTTGGCAATTGCAAATGATGATCCACCTTAAGTTATTGTGAAGTGTTTTACCGATGTGTCCTGTGGCTGTTCCTGTTAAGGTTGTCACGTGTCTACATTAGTATTAGTTCTAATTGTGCGTGTAATATGGCACAAATAGTTTTTTGTTTGTGTTAATTGTATGATTGTCTCAGATGATTTGTTCATTAAGTGGATTTGCACTTTAATGGTGGCTTTGGTAATAAAGATACTACCAAATCCACCGTGGTGTGGAGTAGGCACGAATTTTCTTTCTCCTGCCACGCCTACTTTTGTTGTTAAATTTCTAAAATTTTAAATTTCTAAAATTGCTTTGACAGCTTTGTACTTGCTTGTGTGTGTAAAAGTACTACAGAGCTAACTCTACTGCTTGCATGCCATGGAGAGCTTTGAAATAAAATTTGAAGGACTATTGGACAGGTGCATCAAGATATTTTTATATGAAGATCAAGTAAAAGCGGTGGATTTTGAATTGTTTTTACAGCGTATAACGGATCGGTTTACTACTAAAGAAGTCAATGACTAAGTGAACGCTGTCACTGAAAGGAATGGTGTCGATATCCCTTCTAAGCAGTTTCTTTTTCATTAGGCGTGTTCTGTTTAACATAACATCATTAGGATGTACTTTACCTTATCATGGTTGGTCAATTCCAGTAAGTAGGGTTTCCCGTAACCTGGACGTTGGTGGATCAGTTCCGCCCTCCAGTGCTTGAATTCTTTCACAATTCGTATTGAATTGTCATGGTTAGACTCTGGTATCCAAACCGTAACATACTTTCCATTCCTTATTGTTAAATTCCCAACACCCGTACTGTCAGGTTCTACGATGACTTCTAATTTGGTCATAATTTCTATGTGGAAAGGGTGTGACGTTATATAGCATATAAAAAATGAGGAACATTGTTTTATCAAGCGCTGCGCGCTCGGTCATTATTATCAATAAGCCTCGGAGCTCATCCATTATCCTATACGTAAATAGTGGAAAGTGTTGCACACTCTAGGAGTGCCTTTAGATAAAGATCCTGCCAGAAATGACAAGTTGCATGTACGTATTTTATGTTATTTATTTTAATTAGGATACCCATAGCGCAAAACCGCTGCTTTATTTGACAACAGATTCTCTTGCGCAAAGAACTTACCAAACAAAAAAGAAAGCACGAGAAAATTTCGTTATTACAATAGACTTGAAAATTTGCATTTTCCCCGAGTTGAGACTAACCCTGTATTCCCATAAGACTTAAGGTATGGGCCTTCTGGGAATACAGGGTTAGCCTCAACTCGGGGAAAATGTACGTAGTTAGCGCTATTGTACTAACAACATTTTCTCGTGCTTTCTTTTGTGTTTGGTAAATTCTTTGCGTAAGAGAAACGCTGTCAAATAAAACAGCGGTTATTCGCTTTGAATTCGAAACTGGAGTATTGATCTACTAGTTCATT